GCAAAAATATATCTAGTCTCTAGATAATTTACATTTAGTTTTTTATTTTTATTTTTATATATGTTAAATAAGTGTTGGTTTTCATGAATTTTAGTTGTTTGTGAATGTAATATTTACTTCCATAGAAAACAAAAATATATAAAACAATTATATTTTTTTGTCTTATCCTCATCGTGTGACTGTGTCTGTATTTTGATTTTTTTGAAATTGTCATGTTCCGTGTCCTTGTTTGTATCCGTATCAGTATCAGTATCAGTATCAGTATCAGTATCAGTATCCATGCTTCCTAATGAGCTGGTGTCCAGTTGATTTCCAAATATGTATGAAAATGTGATATGTGCTTCCTAGTGAACTAGTTTCCACTTGACTTACAAATATATATGAAAATTTTAATGTTCCAATGGAGCTAAGAACAACAATACCTTCTCATAGGAGGACACAAAATAGCACTCTGAATCTCTTCCTCTGTAATATATGAAGCAAGGCTACAGAGAAAAAATATATTAGCAAAAGTTAGCTGATACTAGGTTTAATACCATGCAAACATTCCTCCTCTATCAAAAATTGAACCAATAACTATATAATTTAATCAACAATAAATAAGAAAGTATAAACCAATAATTACATAATACAAGTCTGGCAGGAGATGGATGCACCTCTAGCCCCAACACTCTTTTTATAGCACTCAAAAGGACTCTTTTAGACCTGACACACCAAACAAACATATGGTCTTACTTTATTCTTTACTTCACATGACTCACTTACAACGCTATAGATATGGCAACACACATGATGATAGTAACAAGTGCCACCTCATTTCATGAGGGCACAGTTAACAATCCAATAAGAATTGATGAGCACGGCACTAATCCATAAAAGGCTATGTTAAAGCAAAGAACGAAGTGGTCAAATTGTGTAATATATACCATTCAGAAGCTGCTTGCGACATTCCATCTGAAATCAAATGAGCACCTGAGAGAAGAGTTCCCATCTTAATCCTGAATCAAGTCAAAAAGGTTTACGATAGTAGTCATAAAAAACTAAGCACAATATATCAGAGACGTGAGCATTTGAACATTAGCACTAACCCAGGAAACAAATACATGTTATTTGCTTGATTTGCTTGATTTACATGACCCACTTCCATTCCCTGACAACAAGTATATGATTGGCAAAGGTCAGAGTACACAATGAGGAAGACAGGTATATAGAAACTACAGAACTGTTGGTTGCATTGGCTACGTAATGAGAGCAGAGTAAGACCAATTAATTTATTGATACTGTGCAAAAACACTCCACAACAATTAGCACCAATATAAAGAAACCATACCAAGGTCAACATTTTTGAAAGGGCTCCCGCTTGCAAAAACTATATTTTCTCCAGCATGATTGAAAGCATCAACAGCAGTGCATTCTGCTGTTCCAGTTAACATGGAACAACGATGTTCAATAGAGAAATAGAGCATTCCACAAATAAAATAAAGATAATTTAGAAGGCTTGAATGACGAGCCATTCATCATCGGATTTGACATTGCAAAAATGGCAGGCTTAGGGGAATTTGACTCTCACATGGCCTTAAGCCCCTTGTTTATCAAAGAAGACAAAAGCTTTACCAAGCTCAAAAAGAGGATACACTCTGCCATTGTTGTGCTTAGTGCCCTGCAGCTAGACAGTAAGTGGAGAATGGTTTTTCAAACATAGCCAGCCAAAGTTACTTATCAAGTAATAGATATTTCAGAATGAGATACAGTAATGGTATTTAATTATGAAAAAAGCCAAAATTGTGCATGAAAGGATTAGTAAATTGAGGAAAAAACACCCACAAAAGTAGAGTAAACAAAGTATCGTTAAACACAATAGGATAATTAAAAAAGAACAAGGGTTGATGCAGTAACAAAGACTGTAATTGCCATGGATTTAACTGAGGTATTGTTCTATAGAGAGCATTTTAGGAAAATATTCATGTAGTCAATTCCAAGAGGTTGAAATTAGGTCTCTTTTGAGTTGAGCCAAGTGGATTTAACTAATAGTGATGACAGCAAATGACATCCTGATGAGGTATGCTCCTTTATCCTCATAATAAATAATTGTAAGTTTTTAGTAAGAATTGGGTTATTTAGCGGAAGTTGGGAAAAAGTAAAATGATAATAGGGTTAATGAAGACCATCTCTAAAAGGTATTGCCTACATCTAGGAAACAAGAACAAAAAAACTTGCAAAGCAACATGCCTTTCCAAATTTAACTAAGCCAACTTCACTGGTTCATTATGCTTCATTTGAAAGTAATGAAGGACAAAGCAAACTTAAGGGGCTGCCCACCTGCTCATTGAAGACACCGCCGACTCCAGACAAACCAAGAAGTACATGAGGCTTGACTTTTTAACCTAAGCAAAATCCATTCCCCGCAATTAGTTTTTCTAAATTATGAAAGCATACACAATGTCCTGAAAGATAACAGCAAACATCCTTGAGCCAATTGCACGTACCCAAGAAGCAAGCTAAACAGCCGAAGGTTTCTTTTCCACACAATATCAATCTATATCAGCCTTGCATCAACATAGGCTGCCACAAAACACTCCAGTAACATTTACCACTTTAACGAGATTTGCTCCCACCCTAAGTCCCAAACCCTCGATCTCCCCAGGGGCTTTAGCAAATGGTGCAGCTGCTGGATCAACACCCTTACTTTTCGTTGTAATGAGACCCTGCATTTAAACCAGCACTTCTCAAAAAAAAGATGAACCAAAAGTCAAATGGATGATTCCCTGAAAATGTAAATGAAACAATAAAGTTCAGATTGCCATATTATGAGTTTTTCTTCTCATTCCAATGCAGATTCATTCCCACAATTCATTCAGTTACATGCAGATAAGTAACTGATTATCATTACTTTGAAAAAAAGGTGAAATTCAGTTGATAACACTAAAAAAGAATTAAAAAAAATCTCCTTTACAAATATGTTCAAACATATGTTCTCCACATTTTATTACAAGATAAATACCCAGTAACACGTGATAAAGGCTAATACGGTAATTGACATTAAGAACAAAAAAGTTAGAGAGCAAGTAATATCTATAGAACCACACATCTTTATCAAGTAGGAAAAACAGAGGATTTACTTCAGCTCCTGCCATTCTTGAAACAGCCTGTGCAGCCATGTTCAAAACACCAAGCCCTGCACTGAAAAACAGAAAAAGAATAAGAAGACGCAACTCACAGCTGATATTACCAACCACCCTAAACAATAAAGAAGTAAGTAACACTTAAAACCAGGACTACAGCCATTACAGTTGAACTTCATCAGTACCTTCCAGCTCCAACTACAACTATCTTTTGCAAAGTCAGTCAATGGTCGATCTTGTGCCCTTACAGTTCCAAGCAGTCCTGCCAGTGCAACAGCAGCAGTTCCCCATACGACATGATGATAAGCGACAAAAATGTCATTATAATAGTCACCCTTAACAATCTTAAAGTACATTGCCTTATTATATTCTTTACTATTTCCATGGAGAATGGCATAACACAACACCAAGTATTCACCTGCATGTCATTATTGAACATGCCGAACCTTTTTTTGATACTGTTGCAGTCAAGGTTCTGAAAAGCGGTTGCGGTCGCCGTAACGGTGGCGGTGACGCGGTTGTGGTTGCGGGTTGTAAAGGCCATAGTGTAACGGTTGCGGTAACCGGAACCGTGAATTTTTTTATTTTTCGCACAATTTGAAAAAAATTTACCGATACGCATATTTTTTTTTCCATGATCATATTTATTGGGTTAAAAATAAATATTGATCAATTTTTGTAAATTTTTAAGTATGATCCAATATATTTCATATTTTTAAATCATTATAAACTGAGTTTTTTACATTTTATTTTAATAATTAATAACTTTATATTATACAAAAAATCAATTACTAACTATTATATATAAGATAAACAATGACAAAAGTAAGAGAATAAATAAGAGCCTAAATATATATATATATATATATATTTTAACCAAACTAAATAGATAATGACCACACTTATTATTATTATTATTATTATTTTCAAACAATATATAGATGGACACACACAAACAAACAAAATGGTTTAGTGATAGCAGCTGAATAGAATAGCATAGGTCTTACAGTTTCAACAAATCAATAACATGTTCTTCATCTTCCCTCTTCTCTCTCTATCTCTTGCTCCTCCATTTTCTCTCTTTATCTTCCCTTTTCTCTCTATCCCTCTTCTTTTATTCAGCTTTTTTTGTGTGTTTTTTCGAAAGAAACAGTTTGAAACCGTTATGTAACGGTGCGTAACAGGCCGTTACGACACCGTTACGACCGCTATGGCAGCCGCTACGGCCAACACACCTGTGAATCTCAATCACACTGTAAAAGCGGCCGTAACGGGTGGCGGTAAACGCCAAAACCGTTACGTAACGGCGTTACGTAACGGTTGCGGCCGCTTTTTAAAACCTTGGTTGCAGTCTTTCAAAAGACCACTTCATTTGAAAATCCTCAAACTGATAATATTCGCCAAACATCAAGTAATCAGTATGATATTGGTTACACATCAAACAAGATGTCATATTTCTGAAAGAACTAAACCTGCACAATAGCCTTGGGCCAACAGGTGTGAATTGCCTCCATAAATTCATCAACAATTGATAGATACTCCTCTCCTTCCAACCAAGGTTGCCAAAGTCCCAAATCTGTCAAAGTAAAATCATGTGAAAAATAAATCCTCACAAAGTTTGTCGGAAAAAATGGGTTTACAAGCAGTTATGTAATCTACTTACTCTGCTTAAAGACTAGAAAATATGGAGAATGAAATAGAGTGTATTCAGCATAAATGAATGTTAAGAATGGATAAACATGAATGAACTTCAATGTTTAAAATGGTTGGAAGTCCAACATAAGGTGTAAGTAATGAAATTTAACAAGGGAAATCCTACTTCATTCAAGTAAATAGTCACTATTTTCAAATCTGAGAGGTTCATGATGTCTTCTTACAAAATGAGAAAATTATGAAAATAATTGACAAGAAACAATTGTAAACAAGAAAAGATTAGACTTGAAACCTTCGTGATGATGGAATTTAAATGGAAATCAATATTACAACACATGGAAGTATAGCCTTTTTATACAACTCCATTTATTTTATATTATTTTATTTTTTGATAAATAATAGACAACTCCATTTGAATGATAATAATTTGGTTGTAATAACTAGACACTCTTGGGCTCTATATGTACGCTTATGTACAGCCAGATGACCACATGGTTGTTTCCATAATTCCATGGTTTCTATTTTCAGTGCATTTTCATTTCTAGTTTCTTTAGGTATGGTCATCCCAAAAAACAAGGATATATATGCAGGTACATATGTAACGAGGTGATTCTTATTTACATCTCTAGTCTTGTTAGACTTTAACTTCAAGTTCCGTTGGATCTAAATCTGAATTCACACCATAAAGAGTAATATTAAATAATTAAATCTTAGAAGTTTTATCCATGTTAAAGTTGATTCTAAGTATTAATTATGATTCTCTTTTGAAAGCACCTCTGGATCTGCAATTAGCACCCTCAACAAAATGAAGTGTAGCACCCTCAACAAAATGAAGTGCTTAATTCTATCAGGATTCAATGTCTTTTAGTTGAATTTAAGTTAAGAGAAATGAAAAATATACAAAGTGCTACATCCACTTCTATATTAGTCTTTTCAAAAAAAATTGTATTGTTGCTTTCATCAGCAAGCACTATAGCATTTTTACCGAAACTCTTTTTAGAGTCACTGAACGTTCCTACATCATAATTTTTAATATAAAGTCACACTAAGACAGTCAAATATGGCCTAGGACGGGTTGCCTGACGGACAAATTTTGAGTAATTTTCAGGATGCATTAGATCAATCCATATTTTTCTATTGCTTAATAACAAAAAAGATCCTATGCTATCCTAGTCACTTTGTCTCAAGTACATTACTCAATCAAGGTAATTTTATTTACGTATATTACACAATCAGCACCAATGAAGCTTTATAGTCTAATTAATATAGTTCATTTGCGTATTACCCTCAAAAGATGACACCAGATACTTGTCTAGGCTCACAGCAACTTCATTTGACAAGAATATTCCACTGAGAAGATTTTTCTAAGTTTCATAGAGTTCTCAGAATCATCAGATATGAACATGTATACCTCCGTCAGCAAAACACTTCTATTGTATAAGGTAGATAATATTATATGTACAAGGGATCAAGCATGTTGCTTAAAACATGTGTATATGACGGCAAAATAATCACAGATATTGAGAAAGCTGACAACCAAATGAAGGAGATGCATGAAACTTCAATTAGCACAAAGCAACTTCACCTCTCCTCTCTGCGTGTGTGAAAAGAGAGAGAGAGAGAGAGAGAGAGGCATCGAATATTGCAGTATTCAAGGCCTATCACAGTCTTTAAGAGAGATAATAATCAATTATGTTAAAGAGCAAGTGATCTGATTGAATATATTCAGTCCCAAAAATGTAGCCTTTAAACTTTTATGAAGTACAAAATAATGAGTAAAGGCAGATATTCGAAACAACAAAATATTAAATAAAGAGAAGGGACCACTGAACAAAAAATAAACAGCACAAAGTCAATATAAAGACGGTCTTCAAGAAGCTTTTGATTGTTGGTACCAACATCAAGCATAACTGGAAGTATCTGTCATAGATGAATGAAGCTAGATTGGTATAGAAGAAAGCAGAATGAAATGGTAAAAAGTTAGTCCAAAACTGGATGTATAATATAAGATAATAAATATCTTAGTTACTAATATCTTTGAGATCAGGTGGACAAGAAATTACTGTCAGTTCTTTACACATCTAACCTTCTATCTCATATATATGCACTTTCATCAATATAATATCCACATTGATGAAAAATAGCCAATAGAAATATGTTTGTGAAGCATGAAAACATATCAACATATAAGCAAGCATAGGTAACCTTCTCTGCGTATGATACATGCAATAACAATGTGCTATGATCCACATCAAGCATGGTAAGTATCTGTGAGTCAGCCCAGTATTAATGTGTGTATTTACTTGTCAGTGTGCACAGGTGTTTATGCATTGATGCACACTTGTATACCAATTTTATTTTAGTGCACACCTGTTTGTGCTATGCCTATATGAACCTGTAGATAGTAAAGAGAGATGAGCAGAGCATACTCTCTGTGGGCTGATACCAGCAGCAGTGACATACATAACAAGTTTTCCAATGGGTATTCCAATTCCCTGGACCCCAAGATCACCTAGACCAAGAATGCGACTGCCATCTGTCAGGACAATCATGTCAACCTGCAATACAGAAGAAGCCATATACCCATGATATGTCAAGTGCAATGATGAACATAACCTTTAAGCAGCAAGGAGTGCTAAACCAATTTTCATTCCTAAGCGAGCAAAAGTGCTCATTTTGTAATGTATATATTCATTATTCACAGCAAACAACATTGCTACACTGAACACATTTTTATACCTTGCTTTGTTTACCACCTCATCCGGTACAAGTACGAAGCACTCTTAATGCATCACCAAGATGTGGGTAAAAGCAAAAAAGAGAACAAAACTGGACATTGATGCATTTTAGATTTCCAAAATACCTGATGACCAGGACAGTTATAGATCATGGACATCATTTCTCCTTTATCTTTTGCACTGAAGTACATTCCCTGTGGGCGTCTGAACAACCCTGAACAGTTTTGGCAAACCAATCCTACTGTAGGAGTGTGTATTAATCTTCTATGTTATCAGTAAGGACATGGAGAGAAAAGCAACAGCAATACAGCATTGCTTCAAATTATTTCTCTCTAGCTAAAGAGAAATTATAATTAATTATATTCGTCTGGTAAACCATTAAGAACTAAGAGAACCAAATCTTCATCATCTACTGGTGATGAAGTCAGAGCAAGTTGATCTAAAATGGATTTAAATTGACTCAAGTAATACTCCATTGTTGAGCCTTTTTTAACAGTACAACTGAGCTTATTCTTCAATTGATGAATGTGAGACCTAGAAAGAGATGTAAACCTCTTGGCAAGAATAGACCAGACCTCAGTCCTGGTCTGACAATGAATGACAGATGTGTATATAGGTGGAGACAATGTAGCAGTGATACAACTCAACAGATGAGAATCAATGGTGATCCACTGTGTATAAGCTGGATTCAAAACTTCTTGATTGCTAGAATCAAGAAGAACCGATGAGGGACATACTGTGGTACCATCAACAAATCCAAGAAGCTTCGTAGCTTTCAAGATGCTGTGTGGTTGACTCTTCCAAACAATGTAATTTGTTGAATCAAGCTTTGTAGGCACTAAGGCACTCAGATTGGAAATCAATAGTGTAAGATTTGCAGGTAAAGAAGAACTTGAAGATGTATTCATGGAGGTTAATGGAGGTATAGGGTTTGGAGTAGCCATAGAAGGATCTCCAAGGATCTCTGCTCGTAGGAGCTCAGAGCTCTGATACCAAAAATAAAGTTTGATCTCAATTTTCCTTACCTTCTACAGATAGATTTACAATGATTTATAGAAATGATACAATCTCTTAACCATAACTCCTAACTACTTAACCTAACCATAACTACTATCTAACTCTGGTTCTAACAAACTAACAACTAAACTAACAACCTTCAAGCTGTGGCTGATCTGATGAGCTGCAGCATACTACAACTGAAGCTGCAGCTCATACAGCTGCTGTCTGTCCTGAATCTAGCTTAGGCAAATGTAACTGAGGCTGACACTCTTAATGTATCACCAAGAAGTAGGTAAAAGCAATAAAGAGAACAAAACTGTACATTAATGCATTTTAGATTTCCAAAATACTAGATGACCAGGCCAGTTATAGATCATGGACATCATCTCTCCTTTATCTTTTGCACTGAAGTACATTCCCCCTGGGCGTCTGAACAACCCTGAATAGTTTTGGCAAACCAATCCTACTGTAGGAGTATATATTATTGGAGCAAAATCTTCAATGTTATCAATAAGGACATGGAGAGAAAAGCAACAGCAATGCGTCATTGCTTCAAATTATTTCTCTCTAGCTAAAGAGAAATTATAATTAATTCTTAAATCACTTGTTGTTTATAAGCTGATAACTGCCACCAAACTTACTCGGCAGTATAAAGTCTAATTCCTATCATGCAGTCAACTCAAGATCCTCCATTTTGCTAAGGACACAAAACTATCATCTTGGCCTTGAGTATTTTTTTCAAGTGATTGATATGACACTAACAATACAAACAACAAAACATCAAGACCATTACTTTTAGAAACAAAATATATTAGAGAAAAAGAAGAGAGGGCGGCGGAGGGAGGGGGGTGGTGTGGGTAATATGGAGGAGATACTAGGGGTTGGGGTATACGGATAGTATTAAAAAAAAAAATCCACTACCACACTTGCAAATTTTTTTTATTTATTTTTATGAGAGCTCTACCTAAAAGGTGTCCTAACTCTAATAATAAACTTAAACTACAAACTCAAATTTCATGGTCACAGACAATTCAATTTTCATCTGTGTATTTTTCTTTACTTCAGTAATCAATCTAACCATGGTGTGTTCTCTGCACACTTGGATTCAATTGTAAGAGCGACGACCTGATATAAATTAGAAAGAGCACACCTACGAAAAGTCTAAAACCATACAGCATGCCAAGTTTGAAAACAATCTACTCCTCACCAGCCAAGGTTAAGCAGCTAGAACTATGCTTAAGAATTTGGACAGCCAGATATATTGCCTGATTTGGCTTATCTACATGTCAAGTGCTTGATTTCACTAAAGATTCAAGGTGTACATGTCAAGTGCTATGACTCAGACATAATGCACCAAACATCAACATAATGTATACTCTTCTTCCCTCAAAATTACGAACTTAAATTTCATTTCCAGGATATTTTATTTTTTCATGTTCCATTAATTAACAATTCATTGTTTACTAAAACCATAGAAAAGAAACCAATTAACATAGATAGAAGTAATACTGCATTTACATTATAAATATCTATTTCAAGACTCCAGTTGAGATGGAAAAATCTCCTTGCTAGAACTAAAGGAATACAAGACCTTTTACTGGCACATTAGTTGTTCCAAGACTTCTCTGCTGCGTTTTTCACCTCTATTTTTTCAAATTAATCTGTGATCCATCCTCCATTCAGTGATATATAGATTAATCAATAGTCATTAATAAAAACATTAATTCAACTTATTTATTTTGGAAGAGAGCAATTATAAGGGTTAAATGGTGAACATCTACAAAAGAATTCAAAGAAAGAAGAAAATGAAAAAGAATAACAAAAATATTAGAAAGAAAAAAAGGGTAACATGAGTATATATTAATCTCTATGCTTTATGAAATTAGTTCATATTTTTTAGTGTACAAGATTGACCTCATTTAAAATAAAATTTTCAAAAAGTCAGAACAATAATTTCAGATTTACAAATTTCCAATGGGGTCACTTGACCCAACTTTGTTATACATGGCTCTGCCCCTAAGGATCAAGGCACTACACCAACAGCTACTAAAAGAATACAAAAGGGAAAAATTTCCCAAACTAAAGATGGACAATAGGAAACTATTCCTCCAATTGTAATAAGTTAACATAGTGCGCATAGAAGACACGAGGGCTGTTGCATGTGCAGTTACACCCAATTTTAATAGGTACCATATGCCATTTGTTTGCAACCAAATAACATGAAAAACGTAGACAACACATGAATTGAAAACTTTTTAACATGGATTTATCTTTAATATATATGAGGAACAAAATTTTCATTTGTTTCCATTGAAATGGCCGAAATGTTTCCATTTCCCAAGAGATCGAAACAAAACACTAATGGAATAATAAAATTCTAGTGTTTTCATTGAAACACATCAAAACATGGTGAAAGACACCAAAACATAGTGTGATATACAGAAAGAGTAAATTGTATCTATACAAATTTAGAAATTTTCATAAACATTTATTACTACTGCTTAAGTAAATTTTTAGACCTTATTGGAAACTTTTATTTAATAAAATTGAGTTATTTGACAATACCTAAAAAAAATTTAGTTCATAGTAACATTAGTTTTTTAATTCTTTTACGTGAATGACTATATGAATCTCAATTTGTTTAATTAATCAATTATTAGGCTTTTATACATTTAGATATATTTCAATTTATATTTCCAAACATTTCTATTTTATCTTCCTTTCATAAAATATTTCGGAGACGTTTTTGTTTCTATCCTATTTGAAACAACACACTGAAACAAAATTTTGATCTTTGTATATATAAAATATTACTCGAAATACAAAGACTAGGAATCATCAATTTGCTGATTGTTCGAGCATAGGTGCAAAAAAAACGAAAGGTAGGCTTCTACACACAAATGCAATAAACATAACATCACACAAATTCAATTACATTATTTACAGTGTGTTAAACATCCACTAGTTCTGAATTGCTCAAGATTAAGCATATGAAATACATAACATGTTAACAATATACAAAAAATTAACAAATTGTATGTAATCTGCCCATTAAAAACTTTGATGTATAAGAATATACTTAATATTAAAATATCAACTAAAGCCAACAAGGCAGCACAGATTAATAAAATAATGTTGACTCCCCCTCCGAGCAAAATGGGCAACATTTTTCTACTGAGTTTCAAGGGGTAAAACAGTAGGAACATACTCTACCTATACAATTTAATAAATGACTTCAGTCAACTTTTTACAACATACAAGTAATTCAGTAACCAAAATTTAAATTATAATGTAGTCAAGAACACATTATATAAAAGCATGTACATTTGAGCTAATGAATAATCAGTATTGATGAACTGCAAGAGTGGGTTAGTTATCAAGAGAAAAATAGCAAATTGGGGGTTCACTATGACAACCTATATATATGAATTGCCTATAAGATTATATGATCTATATACTAGAAATCAAAACACTATGAATATAAGTAACTACTAAAATATAAACTTAGATACATACCATTTGATTCTGTTATTGTCTTGAGTTTTGCTTCCTTGAAAGAATATGGCATTCATATTGGAAAACCTTAGCACCAGCTCTTCCTCTCCTTCTCCTAATCTTTTTGTTGTCTTTTCAATGGGGCTGACAACCCTTTGATCTACATATATATAGATATATGTAAACCCTAATAAGGATAGGAGAGGGGACTGGGCCTAAATAAAACAATTATTGGGCCCTCCCATTAAGGAACCCAAATAACTTAAAACAGGCCTTACACCTCCATATCATATCTCCACATATAAAATAATATATACACTAAGATGACCATGGCCCAAACTTTATGGATCACAATAATAATTTTGGGCTCATACCAGCCAATCTATCTGAATCACGTTCAACCCGTTTTTCACAAACCAAACAAAATATAGTCAATGACAGCCTAATTAAGAATAAATTCTTACATTGCCACCTCATACACCATACTATCCAAAAATTTTACAAACAAAAATAGTTGGGGAAGCCAAGTTCATTACGTTTTCACTATATGCAACTATAGATAAATAAAAAATCACTCAACATACCTCCATGAAATTGTGAAACTATGAACATTATAAACATGAGCTTTTCCAAAGCTATATTTCCCCTAAACAAAATGAAAGGCCATATGATGCAAGTTAGGTAAAGATATTACAAAAGAAAACACCAAAACGGTTTCAACTCAAGAAAATCTTACCAGGATTGGTCAAAGTGTACATGGGGATAGCGAACAATCACTGGATGGACAGGATATCCAAGGGCAAATACACCAAGTTGGAAAGAAATGAGAACTCTTCCATTTCTTGTGGTTCCCTCGGAAATAAAAACAGATGAGGAAATCTATCGGAAAAAGCCTTTCTTTGTATTCAAATCCTTGAAAGCATATTTTTGTATCAAATAATCCCTTATAAATTGATAAAACTTAATACTCTGAATTCTTTTCATACAAAAAATGTAACAACTCCAGGTATACAATTAAAATTGCTTTCAGTTTCCATATTTATTAGAACAACTCACCAAAATGAAATTTGGACACTTGATATGCATATATTTGTTTGTAACTTTTTAAGTTAGCTCTTACAACAACAAAAAAAATTTGTTTAATTTTTCTAAGCATTTGCAAACTACTTACATCACAGCGTTTCATTCTCTTTCCTTTTTTCTTTTTTCTTTTTGAACATTACTCTCATTTGACGAGCCAAAAAATTCTCCCTTCAACAAGAATTTGTACCAACTTAATCACTTTCAATCTAACTTTAGCATACAGGCAACAACTTAACAAATACAAAAATATTTTATTGATGACTAGCCCAGAAAACCCAAAAAACTAAGGTTTAGTTTTCATAATCAATTTTGAAAGATAATTTTCTAAAAATTTGTTTGGCTATATATTCTAAAAATAGTTTTCAGAAACTTGAAAATCCAAAACTCATTTAGTTTTTAGAATCTGAAATAATTTTTAAAACTCTATTTGGTTTTGGAGTTTTTAAAAATGGTTTTTAAGTTTCAATCTGTATTTTATTATTTTTAGTTAACTTTTTAAGTATTTAATCAATGTTTTTCAAGTTTTTAGATCCACTCAATCTAAATACGCCTAAAACGTATAAAATTTATGAAAAAATTGTTTAAAAAATCACTAAATATTAATAAATATACTAATTTAATACATTTTAGTATGTATTTTTCATTTATTAAAATTTTAAAGATTTTTTAATTTTTTAATTTTTTTTTAAGTATATGTAGATTAGATGCATCTAAAAAATAAAACAAATTAGCCAATATATTAAAAAAATACAAATGAAAAATTTTAAATTTTTTTTTTAAAACTCCAAAACCAAACAAAATTTTAAAAATTATATTCAGCGATCCCTCATTCAAAAAAAAATTGAAAATCAATAAGCAAAAAGACATTAAAAACTAGCAATGCTGGAAATCTTTACTATCAATTAGATTGTTTGATTAAGTTTTTTAAAATCTGTAAAAGTAAAAAAATAAAAATGAAAAACACTTATTGTTTTTCATATGATTTTTTGTTTTTAAAATCTGAAAATATTTTTTAAATGTTTATATTTATAAAATTAGTTTATGTTTTGATACCTGGCAATTTGAGTGCTTGTAAAACTGCGGTGGGAATCTCCACAACAGAGCTCATCACTCATCAATAAACATCGACTCGAGGTATGTGAGTTAAGTGGGGCCAATATTTGCCTTCCCCCTTTTCACACTTCCTTGTTAGTTTCCGACTTCCACTGATCTCCAATTTCTTAAGTGAGGGAGGCAGCCTTTGCAC